ATTACCCACATGGAGCATATTAGTGTCATTTAGTGCTCCATATGGGTGATGTCACACCCTATATAGGTAACTTCACACCTCTCATAATGACCAAAAATAATTTTAGTAAAAAAAACTCTATGTACAAAACAAGGGTATAGAAGTATCCAAATTTGATGAGTACAATGATATATGTATGTTTTTTGAACTATAATTAGATTTCAAAATTTTAGATAAGGAAAAATACTTCTAACTAGTAAGTCTCATACTAAGTGGTGTAAGAATACAATATGATCCATTGGGAGCACACTGTGCTGGATCGTTTCTTAAAGTAGCTATACCAAAAACTTCCACATAAATGTTAGAATCCAAAACTTCTACCGAGTCCCACTTCTCTTTTCTAAAACCAACACATCCAAGGCCCCTCCCCCTTTTTCTATCTAAAAGCAAGACAACAACTGAAAGTTAAGACTTTCATAAGAGATTCCTTTGCAAACTCAAAGCCTTGAAGAAGAAGAACAAGCAATGCTTATCTTCACCCCTTTGCATTGTGATCCAAAACCACATCCTCCATGAAAGCATATCTAAGCTTTCTTGCCTCCCCATCACATCATAGAAGAAACCCTAAAAATCCAACATCAAAACCACCATCCCCCAATGTCATTTCTCCATAAACATCTTGCATACACTTCCAATTTCTTTCATCTCAATTTCATCAAATGGAGAATATAGCTAAGCGACTAAGGTATCTCCTATGTAGACATATACATATATACATGTAAATATACATATCCCTTTAGATTTCATCGACAGGGATTGTATACATTGCAGCGGTTGTTTTTCATACACAAACGTCACAGACACCTTTGGCTGTTGTCAGGCGTGAAATTAAATAGTCAGCAGTGTTTTTGTTTTGCACAAAATCTGTCAATAATCATCTCAAACTTCAACTAAGGTCGGAGGTATACCACCAGCCTTTCGATTTCACATCTGATTTGGGTGATTGTGAGCCAAGATCAAAGGAAAATGAGATGAAAGCCCATGTTTACATGCTAATAAATTTATATTATAAGACAAGCAGGGATACAATGGAGCTCAAAATTTGCACACATGGAAATCTCATCTAGATGCTCAAATTAATAATAATAATAATAATAATAATAATAAAATCTCACATAAAATTGAATATATATATATATATATTTATGTGTGTATTGATCTATGTTCCTTATTGTGGGAATTTTGTGATTATTATGTAGAATTGAATTTTTTGGGGAAGAGGAAGAACCAGTTAAGGAGCATAGGCTACCTGTTCAAAAGGTTCCATCTTTCAAAGGTATATAGCCATGAATGTTCTTCTTATTGATTTATAGCATAATTTTTATTTTTGGGTTCTTTTAACTTGTTTTAATTTTCTCTTAACATGGAAAGAATCCAATTTTTTTAATTAGTTTCCTTTTACATTATTTAGAACCCCCCATTTTCTCCAGGAAACTCTTGGCTCATGAAACACTATCTATCTAGGAGAAAATCAGAAAAACAACAAGCTTTTATTTTTTAAAAAAAAAACAACTTTGAGAAATGATCATAATACCCTTACAACTGTAACTAAATTCTCTCCCATGTCTCCCCCCCTTCACTTTATGGGTGGCTGTCTCGTCTGTGAATTTGTTCTGATTCTCTCTCTTCTCTCTCTCTCTTTCTCTTCTTGGTGTATTTGTCATCTCTGAATTTAGTCTTATTCCTGTCCCCCTCTTTTCTCTCACAGTTGGGTTTGTTGGGTTCTTCTGGTTTTGCAGAGAAGAGAGAGAAAAGCTGGTGGAGAAGGCAGCTCTCTGGCCTAATGAGTTCCTTCGATTCGAATGAAATCAGCGAGCCTGAAACAGTCATGGCAGCCGTAGCATACGCCATTACAACTCTCGAAGAATCAGAATCTCAGGTGAAGAGAAGGTTTAGTGAGAGAAAGGACGCCCGTTTTATACCCACCAAGAGCAAGAAGGACGAGGGATTTACGACACCCACAGGTAACCATTGCAGTATATTTTTCAGGAAATTTCAGCTGTTTTACATTTCGGCAAATTTTGGGTGCAATTAGAAACATTTCAGGCGAAGAATGTATTTTCTTTCAATATTTCGTTCAAGATTTTGGAGTTTTCTTTGTTGAGTACTTCCCCGTTTCCACATGAGGGGGGCTTAGAATTTATTATTTAAAAATAAAAATTTATCAAATTATTCTTGACAGATGAATAATTTAACATTTTAATGTGATTTAATTTCAAAATAACCATGAAAAACGTACAATCTAGAGTTGGAATAGTTATATATTGGTAAAATATTAAATAGGAAAAAGTTTATATAAGGTTGCAACCTTAAAATGTAGAATTAAATATGCACCTAAAAAATCCATAGAAAAAGGTTATTTTAATGTTGAGAAACTCTCTAATTGATCATTTCGACATCGAGATGCATAAACATGCAAAAAGAAAAGATTTGGAGTCCTAAAAATAGTGCATCTTGCAACACGATATCTAAACTATGCATTTTCAAGATTTTTATACATTTATAGATCTAATTAATTTTAACTATTTTTGGAGTTTAAATTTTTTTAATTAGATATGAAAATAGATTTTGGGATAATCCTAATAATTTTTTTAACCAAAATTACATGTTATAATAAAATTTGGAGGTGCACCTTAATTGGATTATTTAAGGTTGCAACCCTATAGAAACCACACCCTGTTAAATAATATAGGCACCTTGATGAAGCATAGGTTTTTTTTGGAAGGGATTATCTACAAAGAGACCATTTATCTTTTATATATGGTGGCATAATTATTTTCACTCATTAAATGTCAAATTGGATGGCTTGGGTGAGTTAATTAATCCCGATAATTTAATTTTTTTTAGAACTTTGTGTCTTTTCAAAGACGCTCGAACAACCATCCATTTATTGAATACCTATATCAAATTACCTATTTAGCAATTTGTGCTTTTGGAACTATTTCAATTCAATGCCACATGTTTTTTCATGGTCATTTTGAAATTAAATAAAAAGATATCGATCAAGTGTTAAATTGTAAACTTCTCAAGGGTAATTTGATAAATTTCCCCATTTTTTTTAACAAACTACGGCATAGGCTGTACAATGAAAAATAAATCATCATAAAGTGTAGTTCCAAAAAGCCCTCAGATAGATCATTTCAACCTCGAATTTCACGAATCTAAAAAATAACGTCAAGTCTTAAAAATAATGCATCTAACCACATTTTCTAGGCTGTCCATTTTCAAATATTTACAAATCCATCATATCTGCAACCTTTCCATAGCTTTAGATTTTATAATCAAGAAAAAAGATAGATTTTTAGAACGACATAAGGTTTTTGGTGCATAAATTTGCATTTTTTGGTGGGGTTTAGAAGAAATGACTTTCTCCATCAAATTTAAACTTGGTGTAGATTCACCCATTTTGAAATTTAAGAGACAAAAATAAATGTGACCTCCATATATAAAAGATAAATAGTCTCTTTGTATTCAATTCCTTTAAAAAATGTATAACAATTTTATTCTTATAATAATGTGTAGGAAAAAAAACTATTTTTATGATCAAGTTTATTGACTAATTTGTATTAGAACAATTTAAGAAATTCTAGAAAAGGAACAGAAAAACTCGATAACAGTGACCAAAGTTCGCATTTCTCATTTTAACGCGATAGTGGTGTTTTTTCATTTTAATTCCTAGCATTCATATGTCCAAATTCCAATGATAAAAATAGAAAAGGGAAATAAAATCTAAAATTTTCTACCATATTCTTGTTGTTACGCTACTTATTATTATGCATTTATCTATTACATCTAAATGCTAAACATCGAATAATTTTTTATGAACAAATGAAGTGCTTTTCTTTTGCAAAAAATGTCCCTACACTCGATTTTTTTAAGAGATTGTATACTATAAGACCGTTAATTTTTTATACAAGGAGATGACAATCACTTTTAACCATTGGATGTGAAATCCAATAGATAAAAATATATCACAACATTAGAGAAATTTTATTTTGGATTTTGTGCCTAAACAATGACATATCTTCCGCCACCTGATTTCAAATCTAAAAGTTCATTAGAATTGTGACCTCTTTGCATCAAAAGTAAATGATCGTATACATTTTATTTTTTTAATAGGTAAAAAAAAAATATATATTAATATAAATGGTCAAACCATCTCATAAAATACATGAGATAGTTAAAACAACCATTTTTACTAACAAGGGGTTGGTTTTTCAGAAATATATTCCACTGGGTACCTCTTCAATAATTTTATCAAAAAGACCAAATTGTCCCTATTTCGAATTTAAAACCCTAATTAAGTGATGGCATTATGATAATTCGGCCTACATAGGCCGCCTCAGCAAAACAACATACAACCCCACTTTTTAAATAATCGAGTATCAATATAAAAATCCTAAACTAGTACATTTAGCTAGGGACACTTAATTGAGTCAAATTATCAAATTGGCCTTGTTTATTTAGGATTATAGGCCTGAAGTAGGAACAATTTAAGTATTTTTAACCAGAGAAATGATCGTATAAGACCTTCCTGCATTTATGTGTGTAGGACCCAAAAAAATCACTATAAAATTTGACATGGATCTATAGAAAAGTCAAACTCTACACCTATGTAATAACTTTTTTAGAGGTCCGTGTCAACTTTAATAGTGATCTTTGGAGTCCTACACACATGGGTGAGAGAACATCCTATAAGATCATTACTCTTTTAACAAAATAGCTGAAGAAGTACCTCGAGGGATCTTTTAAAAAAAAGCAATTATTTTATTGGTAAAAATTGAATTGATTGATTTAACTGCATCATTGATTTTCCCATAATAATGATATTTCTCAAAGAGAAAAAAAGAAAAGCAGACATCAGTCACCATAGAACAATACCAACATCAGGAACGATGATGATTAAAAACTCGACTTGTTCATGCACTATGAACAATGCAGGTGATGTTTCAGGGAGAAAACCAGAACCTCAAAGTGATCGTAAAACGCTAGAAAATATCACTCTCCAAACAGACCCAACTGCTCGAAAGGCTCCAATTTTCACCGAGAAAGATCGAAAACCGACGATTTCCGGCAACCAGCAGCAAGACACCAAGCTTGGAAAGACAGATTCAAGCGTGCCTGACCCCTCAGTTTCCTTAAAACCCGCAGTCTTAATGAAACCGGAGCGTAAAAATACGACAGGGAGAGTGAAACCAGTGTCTGTCAAGGCGGGAGCAAAGGCTGATGCTTGGGAGAAGGCTCGAATGGAAAAAATAAAAAAGCGGTATTTTACTTTATTTTATATGTTTATCAAGCTTTTGAGAATTTTGCTCTTTCTTATTACGATGAGATTCAAAAAACTTTTAGGTACGATATGGACGTGTCGGTAATCAAAGACTGGGAGAAGAGGAAGAAAGAGAAGGCATATGATAGATTACATGAAAATCAGGTTTTCCTCCTTTTTTTCACAATTTTTTCATTTTGAGTCTCTTTCTTTTCTTTCTGTCCTTTTTTTTTTTTTTTTTTAAGTTTGGTACTATAGGGAGATAATACTTAGAAAGAGAAATTCTTAAAATTGAAGGTTTCTCTTGACCATGCACTGTAATCAATTTTTCCATAAACTGTGGCTTCTTTAAATGTTTTTCACAAGGGAGCATTTTCAAATATTTCAAATTCAAGAGAATTCATAGAAAAATTCTCAAACCACTTTTGGTGAGAAGAGCTGCCTCTGGTTTGGTCCTGATTTGCAAGCAAGAAATGCTCTCTCTCTCTCTCTCTCCTCGTTTGTAGTCTCTGCATATCAATATTTGAAGATTCGGGTTCTAAACAGCAAGCATTGATCGGTTTCCGGGAGTTGCAGAGGCAGCTTGAAGCGAAAAGCAACAAGGCCACAGGCGAGTACAACAGAGACATGGAAAGGATTGAAAAGAATGCCAAAGAGGTGAGGATCTATGTTGAAGCGAAGATGCTCAGCGAAGAGACCAAGACCAAAGACAAGGCCAATAAGATAAGGTCGACAGGTCGGAGTCGGTCAGCATGTCGATGCTTCTAACAGAAATCACCATCTCTCTCTCTCCTCCATGGTTTGCATGGATCTTTATAATGGAGGGTCAAAATTATAGTTTGAGTGTATCCATTAAAGCTGATAGGCAGGCAGTGGTTATTAGTGTTGTGGTCCTCGGAAGCTTGTCAGTGGTGTATATTAACAACAAAAGTGAATAAAAGAAGGATGCAGTTGGTACAAGGATGCATCGGTAGCTGTAGAGGTATGGTGCACTTTCAAATTTTATCATATAATTTTAATGTAAAATGTTCTTAAGATTATCTCAAAATCTATTTTCATATCTAATTATAAAATTTTAAATTTTAAAAATGGTTAAAATCAAGTAGATCTATAAACATATGAA